CTTGCAGGGTCAAAAGCGACAATGAAAGGACGAACGAAAAAACAAAAATAAGGAATAGGGCACTGAAAAAGCTTACAGTTGTAGTATATCCTATGTATATTGCCGCTGCCCCCCCCCCCTGAGAAGAGTATTAGCGCCAAGACGTGTAAAGAGCCAAAGATATTGGTAAAACTCAAAAACTCACCAAGTAGAGCAGAGATCAACGTGAAAACACAAAATAACCATCCCCGTAATCGAATCCAAAATGGCTGATTGGCTGATACCCTTGGAGGTTCACCCTTTCCCATAGTTCACCCTAAAGCATAAGCTCAGCAATGAAATTAATTCAATCTTTCATTTTCAATTACATTATTGACCACAATGGAGGAAATGCGTATCGTGAATGAAGGTTTGAGAAAAACAGCCGCCTAAACATCATTGTGTGACATCGCACCTATTCTTGGTCCCTATTTACTGCGTGTGCGACGTAGCACACTTTACCCTCCTTCAATGAAGAAGTACAACCAAACTTATCATCAACCGCTACTATCACCTCTGTTGTTATCAAGGGTCATCCGGTCATCCATTCTAGAAGTTTTCATTGTTTTTTTCAAATATTCTCAAGGATACGAAGCACCAACCAGGATTACCCTCACTGTAAAAGTTGAGAGGCATATATCGAGGATATTATCGAGGTCGTTTGACAGAGCCTCCTAAAGGAGGAAGACGGGAGAGAGGAAAATGAAGGTTTTGCGGAAGGTATCTCGAGACCGATTCTTTACACAATTAAGCCTCCAAACGCTTTCATTCCGGAGAATGCATCAGAGTTATCACCAGTACTGAAGGTAACCTCCACCATAAACAACCGTGTGAAAGGTGTAGTATTCAAACATAGAGATCACCAGTTCACAACAGGAGAAGGTGCCTGATCCACTGATCCTTGCTGTTCACGAATACCCTAGATTGTCTTTTTTGCGGGCTCTTCAGCAAGTGAAGAGGGCGTTATCGCACTCATTAGTGGCATTGACGCCTGCTGTCCCACCAACAAAATTTAAAGGCTACTTTCTCTTGCGAGTGCAGTACTTACACCATTTTTTCCGTTTTTTTTCCACTGTTAGATGGTATTAGCATTGAATGACGCTAATGTAAGGTACGATTAGTGAGCCAGAGTCGCAGGTTAGCCTCTTGCTGGCATAAAAAGAACAGGCACGGTGAACTCTTACAGAGAGACTGCCTCAGCTTTTACTCACGGTGCTCTACGTGGTTTTTTTGTTTTTTCCCTGGACGGACGTTTAGCGGCTATAAGCGCACGACTTTACGAAACTATCCAAAATATGCAATCGCGGGTGTCCTTAAGGGCGCCCCGCACTACCCCAGGGGAACAGCTACGACTTCCTTCGAGACGGGGATTGGACAGCTGTAAATATGAGAAAAATGGGAGAAGAGGGTGGTGGTGTAATAGCAAGTGGTGTCAAAACGACGCGCGCCAACATCCTGTTAAATCTGGGATCGGCTCCCTGACCAAGCCTTACAGACCTTTGGGGGAGCTTAATTGGTACCAACCCTACTACACAACGTTACTGAATGGTAATTTATGTGCAATTATGCTACCACCGAAAGTAGAATGCGGCGGGTGCCCGAACAGAATGAACGCGGCTAATGCCGTTTGGACTCCAGCAACTTCGGCACCGAGCTCATTTTTAAATTGCCTAAGTTACCAAATCCGCTAAAAACTTGTATGTAGGGGTAGTTTAACATCCTGATTACGAATATGACATTCACTCTTGTGCCGCTGGCGCTAAAGCGGTGACACTACGGATATGGACCTTGCGCTCCGCGAGAGGGGTTGTAGGCCCAAGAGGTAATGCGTAGTGTGGTCATCCTTTTGGTGGCGAGGCTCGTGGGCCCCTCAGAGATGAGTGTCATAATGGTAATCAGGATGTAATAACCGCTGGTAACCACTATTTGCAGCGTGGTTTGTCGACTTGTGAGGTGCGTATATTTAAAAATGAGCATCGGTGCCGATATTGGCCTGGATGGCCAAAACGGCATTAGCCAATGAACGCCGAGTACCGTCGTTTCGCCATCTCACAGTCAGAGAGGACGATCCCTCCTCAAGTTCGCCCTTATCTGATACGGGGTCAAGGTGATCCCCAGAGACGAAGTTTTACATTCTGTCACTTCACCTATAATAGATAACAAAACATTACGAAACTAATGTCCCGAGCGATCGAGGATAAAACGCTGCGGCTGTTGTCCTTCAACAAAACCACGCGGAACACCCCGCTTTCTGCATCTCTCACTCTGATTACGCTACAGAACGCTTTTGCCCTCTCGTATGAAAGCTGCTTTATCGCTCCCTTGCCAAATGTCATAACGAGATGAATATTAATGATTTTATTATAGGTTGCTCGTACTTGCCGTGAAACGAGGCTCAAACAGTATGTTCATTGGACACAGTAGATGATAAAGGTAGAATCCGAAGCAAGCGTACGCTTAACTATGTCGTCAAAATGGTACCTTTTAACATTTGACTATACTTACCGATGACAGTGCAAGCAAGAGCGATATATCACCGACGAGCAATCGCGAAACCCTAATAGCCCTCCACTTTCTTCAACGAAAAAACATGAAATTGGACATGCCCAATCTAACTTCCGGTAGAGGCGGACTGATGAAAAAATCTTTGGCAGGGCATGGACTATGTTAACCTTCACGTCCCTAACAATCAATAATACTAACGATGCATTACAACGAAAGCTACAGACATCAAAAGAAAGAAACCGGCGCAGCCATAAAAACCAAATCGATTGCAATAAAAAAATAAATAAAAATTTATCAGCTATCGTACAAGCGATTGTGGAGCACTCATTACATGACTAGTACATAAAAAGATCACAACACGAACTGAAGATCAAACGCGGTCAAACTTCACGGGAAAGCGGTTCTTCAAAGCTAATGATAGATTTCTAATCGACTCCGAATGACTAATCGACAAATCTAAACTGTTTCCGAATTTATACATAGTTTCACTATCAAAGTAGATTATAACGCGCTGAAGGCCACCAGTAAATCGGCGAATCGAGAAACGCTATAAACCATGGGAAAGAACGGAACACCAGAGCGATAACTATGAGAAAGACGCATGATTAAAGGATAGAAACTCTGCCAAATAAATCTACTTCTTTCTCTCTGCAAACCACTTCATTACTAGGAATTCTATGCCGTTGTAACGTTTCAATACGTATATATAAAATAAAGAAACAAGAACAACATATAATCGAAGAACGTAATATGCATAGATAGAGTGTAACCACACTGCTGTCATGAGTATCCAAAAGCTCAATGCTATGTAGTAACCGAAACCTTGTGTTTTAACCTGAAACGAAGTAACGCTTACCAATAACATTGCAACCGGAAAGGAATGAAAGTGAGCATGAACGCTTCTCGAACGAATTTCATTATTCAAAAAACTATCCGTTTAACACTGAGTGTTCTCACGTTATCACAAATACAATAGGTTGCCACGGAAACTTTTTTTTACAAACAAAAGATTGCATTTCCTTGGACATCTGTCTCTCTCATTGCGGCAGACATAAAAATGGACATTTTTTGAACGCTTTGATCTTCAACCCCATTGAGTGGATTCAAACTTCTTTTATGCAAATGTTCCTGTGTCAAGGAGTCGTAGGAGTATGTGACAAGACAATCGTAATCGCCGCGCTCGTGAGCGACGCGTGCGACGCTGCCGGCAAATTGTGATGTTTATAGGTCGTATGTGGCGACAGCAGGCATTGTAGAACCAAAAAGTGCCGAGTATCTAACTTGTCGTACTCTACGTGAAATCCGATGCTCGAATGGACAATTTAATGCAAACTGAGAAAAAGTGACGGCTACCGCTGCGCGTGGAGCGCCAGATTACGATTGTCTTGACCGTCTCCCAGGAGGCGGCCACATTTATAACTGTCGTCATTATGCGGTCGCTTTTGAAGGTTTCGCAGTACCCCAATAAATAGTGTTCAGAGCAGGGTTCAGCATTAATGGGAGAAACGGCGGACGGCAGAGACGTCAGACGAAACCCTTTTCCGAAACTTCTTTCTCCGCACATTACTTCCACCAGCTTATCTACCATCATTTTGAATTTCCCCAGGTTCTTCTCACTTTTCCCGTTTTCTAAGAACTCTTCCCTTCCATACAAAAAATACCGTTCAGCAGAGGCGCGGAGGGGGCACGTCACTATACAATACAAAGTTCAACTGCAAACAGTTGCCGAACTCAATGAATGGGGGGAGCGGGGGGGGGGAGAAGGGTGTGCAACACACACAAAACGGGAAACCCATAAAAGTCAACGACCAAGAATGTTTCTCTCGCGGCTCTCAAAATTGACTTGATGACCAGACCAGATACGACCTCCCCCTCCCCCCGACCACCTCCCAAACGACCAAGTATGACTCTCCTGAAAGAACTGTCCCAACGATGTTGTACCCCAATTCAAATTGAAATAACTTGAGAGTATGTCAACCACCAATGAACGCGACCAGCGTTCCATGGTTGCTGAAAGGGAGAAGGAAGGACACGGTGAAGTTTTGGAGTGTAACTAGCCTTCCATGACATGACTGCTGTATGGTGAAGGAGGACACCAGATGATTTTTGAGAAACCGCCGAAAACT